GGCCCAGAGTTCAGGCCCCACAACTGGACCAAAAAAAAGAAAAAAAGAAAAAAAAAACCCAAAAGGAGCTTTGAGATTGCTCTTCTTAGAACTTATTCTAGCTACTGTTGCTGCTGCTTTTCTTTTTCTTCTTCCTCTTCTTCCTCCTCCTCCTCCTCCCTCCTCTCCCTCCCCCTCCTCCTCCCCCTCTCCTTTTCTTCCTCCCCTTCCCCCTCCCCCACCTCTTCTTCCCCTCTCCCCCATTGCCCCCTCTCCTCCTTCTCTGCCTCCTCCTACTCCTTTTTCTCCTTCTCCTTCTTCTCCTCCTTCTTCCTTCACCTCTCTTCTCCTCCTCTTCTTCCGCTTCTCTCCTCCCTCTCCTTCTGCCATTCCTTCTCCTTCCCTCTCTCTTCCCTCCCTATCCTCCTCCTCCTCCTTGTTTTTGCTCAGAGCTTTTTGCTGGTTAATTGGAGATAAGAATTTGTTGAACTTTTTTTTTTTTTTTTGCCTGAGCTGTCTTTGAACATCAATCTTCAGATCTCAGCCTCTTGAGTAGCTAGGATTAGATGTGAATTGCCAGTGCCTAGCCTTGGTTACTTCTGTCACATACATATATGTTGTAAAATATAAATGTTAAAGGTCTATGAAGGTTTTTTCTTAGTGGAACAAAAGAAAGCCAAGAGTCTTCTCTGAACATTAGCAGGAAGACCAATCTAAATGTCTACACTCTATGTTCTAGAAACACTTAGCAAATCTAAAGTCCTGCTGGGGTTATGAGAAATCCTGCAAACCAGAGTTCAGATTTGGTTACCCTGTCTGCAGCTACGTGGACCTGGGATGGTAAGTTTCCGTGTAGATTCACTCCTTTCTTTTCCTGAGCCACATATTGATGTCCTCATTCTCAGCCAGAATCTTTTATGGTTAGATCACGGTTTTTTAGATATTATTTTGCTTACCCAGTCTTGAATTCAACTTGAGTACCTCACACTGGGGTAGAAATCTGTCATTTCCTCTACCAGAGGGGAGAAAACCGCTGGGCTAAAGACTCCTCCCCCACTCTTGGTCTACTGCACAAGCTTAGAAGATAAATGGATGCTTTCCTGTGGGTTGTGGAAGGAAGTGACAACTATAATTAGTACTTCCAATGCATGCAGAGTCAAAGGGTGAAGAAAAATACAGTAGCCAGGAAAATACAGTAGCCAGGAGTTCCTGATGACCCTGAGCTCAGAAAGTTCTGTTTTCTCTTTTCATTAGAAGGGATCAAATCTATAATTAACTTACTATATAGTAACTTGATGTACAGAGGGATAGTTGTGGGCAAACTATAATAAGATCAAATGAATTCGAAGAAGAATAAAATAGACTTCTAGCAATTGAACCTGTAGAAAATAAATTCCAGCCAGTCCCTGGTGACTCACTCCTGTAATCCTAGCTACTCAGGAGGCTGAGATCTGAGGATCATGGTTTGAAGCCATCTGGGCAGAAAAGTCTATGAGGCTCTTATCTCCAACTAAGCAGCAAAAAGCTAGGAGTAGAGATGTGACTCTAGCACAGAGTGCAAGCCTTGAATAAAAAATCCAAGGGAGAGTGTAAGACTCTGAATACAGGTGCACGCATACACACACATACACATGAAGTTTAAGTTCCAGGAAAAGGAAAAAAAAAAGCCTCAGAATCTTTTTTTTTTTTTTTTTATAAAATAGGACGGACACCCTGGAATCGGCAGCTGACATATTCTGGAAACAAGCTGACTTTGGCTACGCCAGGGAGCGACTGGATGGAATGCATGTACTCTGCCAGCCACAGGAAATGGTGTGTTTAGCTCCACAAAGAAGCTTTATCGCATAGTATCATACTCTCTTGCTAGACTGTAATAGAAAAACAAGATAAGTGGTACAATGAAAGGAACCTCTCAGTTTCGTTTATTGGCTTATAATTTTTTTGACAAGACCCTACACGACAAGTCTTATCATGTAGTTGAGCCTAGCCTTAACCTTTTGGCCTCTCTGGTGCTGGGATTATCAGTATACTCCACCATCTTGGGCTCAGAATTTTATTTAACATCTTAAAATAAATCATTTGTTTTCTTTGGAAACCTTGTTCTCATTGTCACATATACATCAGATAGTTATATTTTGAGGCAGCTGAAATATATTTTTAAAAAAATGGAATCCTTCCTTTCCCCATCATATATACTAACGAAGAGAAATTGAGCAGGATATCAGTGGCTCATGCCTGTAACTACTCAGGAGGCTGAGATCTGGAGGATCACAGTTTGACAGTATCTCAGGCAGAAAACTCTGAGAGACTGTCTCCAATTAACCAGCAAAATTTGGGCTCAGAGGGGGTGGCTCAAATAGTAGAATGCCAGCTCTGAGCAAGCGAGCTGAGTAAGTGTTGGTCCTTGAGTTTAAACTCTCTGGCAGAAGGAAGGAAGGAAGGAGAGGAAGAGAGAGAAAGAAAGGAAGAAAAGAGAGACTGAAAGAATCTTAACAAATGCCTCCTCAGATAATTTGGGACAGGCAACGTATCACAAATATTTGCTTACCACTTGATTGTTTGAAGAAAGTTTTTCTGTATATTGTCTAGTTTGAGTCTCACAAGTCTTACAGTAAATACAAATGATACACTGATACAAATTTGTGTGTGTGTGTGTGTGTGTGTGTGTGTGTGTGTGTGTGTGTGTGTATGTGTATGTGTATGTGTGCATGCGCGCACTATTACTGGGGCTTGAACTCAGGGCATAAAAGCTGTTGCTTAGTTTTTTCCACTTCTGGCTTTGTTTGATGGCTAGTTGTAGTTAGAGTCTTAGGAACTTTCCTGCCTGCTTGACTTTGAACCAGGGTTCTCAGATCTCAGCCTCCTGAATAGCTAGGATTATATGAGTAAGCCATAGGTGCCAGGATCTGATATGATTTTCAAGAGTAGAAAACAGGGTCCTCACAGGAGCTGAGCAACTTCTCCATTGTCACTGGATATTTGAGAGAAAAATAATCAAAGAACGTTTAAATGCCGAAATAAAATCCAGAGCAGGGAAGTTTTTGAAGCACCCCCTTCTTTGAGTACAAATTAGATTGGTTGAAATTGAAACGGGCTCTGGCAGTTGACTCTTCAGTTATTTTGTTCTCTATGTATAGTGACTCTCACAGGCTTATGGGAAACTTTGCAGAAAGTACCTCTTATTAAAATAGGCAAACTGCCCTTGCTTGTAGCCTTGCATTTAAATGTCTTCTTGTGCATTCTTGCTTGTTTTCTTTGGCTCATCTTTGAAAAACATCTTTTCAACATAGCTGAGGGTAGTAATGGTTCCGGGTAATTTTTTTGTAAAGGAAAGTGAACTGAATCACATAGATAACTTCTGGCTCTAACTCTTGAAGCCAAGCTGGGTAGGCAGTGCAAACCTGTAATTCAAACTCACAGGAGGTAGAAGCAGGTAGATTATAGGTTTAAGGCTGTCCTGTGTTACATAGTGAGACTGTGTCAAGAAAATAAAAATAAATTATGTCTCAAGAAAAAAAATGGAGGGGCTGGGAAGGTGGCTCAGTGGTAGAGCGCTTGCCTTGCATGCTCAAGGCCCTGGGTTCTATTCCTCAGCACCACATAAGCAAAAAGAAAAAAGCCGGAAGTGGTGCTGTGGCTCAAGTGGTAGAGCGCTAGCCTTGAGCTAAAGAGCTGAGGGACAGCGCCCAGGCCCAGAGTTCAGGCCCCACAACTGGACCCCCCCCCAAAAAAAAAAGAAAAAAAATGGAGACAATTCAAGACAGATGTAGGCTGTGGAGAGACTGCCCATCATTTTGGGAGGGTTCACACTGTCAACATGTCTAGTAGAGTCTGCTACTCCTTGCAATGTTAATTCACTGCTTTGTATTTCTTTTTTCTCCCGACCTTATTTCAGAGCGATTCAAGTCTGGTATGTTCCCGTTACCTTCAGTACTGCAGAGCAACTAACCTTTACCTTGACTTAAGGAGCATCAAGAGAAATCATGACAGGTACTTACATGGTGATATTAGAATATAACCAAAGTTTGAAGTCGGTTTAGGTCCCAGCTACACGCTGGATTGATTTCATCATAGTAAACTAGCTGAGGAGTTGGGCAATGGGTAAAGGAATAGGGACTCCGATTGGTTTGGGGTTGATTGTGTTGTGGTCAAGTCGAGTCCCTTATATGATTCTCCTACTTTTGAGTTGCTTTTCCATTTTCTATTTTAAATACAGCCTTGTTTCCCTTAAGATGGCAATGCATTATGAAAATGCATTGTTAAAGCCGGGCACTGGTGGCTCATACCTCTAATACTAACTACCCAGGAGGCTGAGATTTGAGGATGGTGATTCAAAGCTAGTCTGGCAGGAAAGTCCATGAGACTCTTATCTCCAATTATACACCAAAAAGCTGGAAGTAGAACTGTAGCTCAAGTGGTAAAGTGCTAGTCTTGAGCAAAATAGCTCATTGACAAGAGTCTAGACCCTGAGTTCAAGCTCCAGAACTGGCACCAAAAAAGAAAAAGTATTTTTAGGTGACTTTACTGCTAGGTAAATATCATAGAGTATACTATTACAAACTAGGATAGCCACATTGCCACTTGAGATGTGGTCTTAGGGGAGCACCATCACGAATCCAGTTCATGGATCAGATGTGTTTGGGAGACCACTAATTCCCCTTAGTTACAACACAGAAGTTTGAGTCATGAAAACAATATTCTGCTGAGCACTGGTGGCTCATGTTTATAATCTTAGCTACTCAGGAGGCTCAGATCTGAGGATCACAATGTGAAGCCAACCCAGGTAGGAAAGTCCATGAGACTCTTCCATTAACCAGCAAAGTGCCAGATGTGGAGTTATGGCTCAAGAGATAGAGTGCTAGCCTGCAGTATAAAAGCTAAGGTAGAGTGCCCAGGTCCTGAGTTCAAGCCCTACGATTGATATCAAGCACCAACCCCCCCCCCCAAAAAAAAAAACCAGAAAAAACCAACTCAACTTTATTTATATTATACACTAGATTCAAAGAAGATTTCTTCAAGAGGGGTGAAATTGGAGGACACTGTAAACTTGATGTTCGTGCATTGATGTCTGAAGGTCAGCACAAAAGTCCCCTGCAATCTTGGTACATGATTATTTTTTCTTAAAACATATGTTTTAAAAGTATGTCCTTTTGCTTTTGGTGCTTCAACTTTTGGGGAGGATTCTAAACTGGAAATCATCACTTAATTGGTACACACTTTTGTTTCTAAAGTGTGATGGTTACAGTTGAGCTCCTCATTTGTCTCTGAAGTGAATATATATTTATAAAATGTTGGGAAGTATCATACAGTATTTATTATTTGTAAATGAAAGGAAAAATCCATTCAAAATGAATTCTTATTAACTCATATTTGCTACATGTATTTTAGGGAAAACTCTTAATTTTTTTGTTATTATGAAGGTGATGTACACAGGGGTTACAATTATATAAGTCAGGTACTGAGTACATTTCTTTTTGGACAGTGGTTCCCCCCTTCTCTTGATCTCTCTCAGTTTTTCCTTCCCATCCCAACCCATACATTGTACATTTAATTTTCAACATAGTGTCTAGTAAGTACCACTGCTGCATTTGTTTACCCAACCTTTTCCCCTCCATTTCTGTGCCCCGCTTACCCCTCCAAAGACAAATACATGAATAAACAAGACAAAAAGAAAAGAAAACAAGAACAACCAAGAAAAGCCCTCTTGTTTTCATTTCAATAAATGTCGCATAATCAGAAGCACATAGGCACTGTGCTTTTGTGTTTCTCTCTTAAGAGTATCCTCCTTTGATCTCACTGTGGGAATGCTGTATAATTTATCTGCATATGAAAGAAAATGTGACATTTTTCTGTCTGAGCTTGGCTCACCTCACTTAACATGATTTGTTCTAGATCCATCCATTTCCCTGCAAATGATATAATATTCTTTCTAATGGCTGTTTAAAATTCCATTGTGTATAGGTACAGTTTTTTTATCCACTCTTGTAGGGCATCTGGGCTATATCTGTAACTAGGCTATTATGAATAGTGCAACAATGAACATAGATGTGCAAATGTCTTTATCATATTCTGACTTGTAATATTTTGGGAAGATGTCCAAGAGTGGTCTGACTGGGTCATGGGAAAGTTCTATGTTTAGTTTCTTGAGGAGCCTTCCAACTACCATCCAGAGTGGTTGTATTAGTTTACATTCCCACCAGCAGTGCAATAGGGTTCTTTTTGGGGAAAACTTTTGAAAATGCGCATGGATTGAAATATATAATAAAGATACAAAAAGTGGGGTTTGAACTCAAGGCCTTACCCTTCCACTTGACTTTTTTGCTTAAAGCTGGTGCTCCACTACTTGACCCATCTCCACTTTCCTGCTTTTTGGTGGTTAAGTGGAGATAAGCATCTCACAAACTTTCCTGCCCAGGCTGGCTTTGAACCATGATCCTCCGATCTCAGCACACTAAGCAGCTAGGATTAGAGGTGTGAGTCATTGGCATACTCACAAACTTCTCTTATGTAATGTTAGTTTTCCAGGCTAAGCTTCCATGTTGAGAAAAATAATCTATGCTCCTTTAATTCAGTGCAATGAAGTTTCCTCTGTTACATAACAGAAGTTTGCAGCAGATACTACCTGTATTCTATTGAGTGTTTTCATTCTGTGTGTGTGTGTGTGTACACGTGCACAGCTCAAGGTAAGCTCTCTACCATGTTGAGCCACAGTGCCACGTCTGGTTTTCTGGTTGTTGCTAAGAGTATCATGGACTTTCCTGCCCAGGCTGGCTTTGATCTCAGCCTCTTGAGTAGCTAGGATTACAGGCGTGAACTACCAGTGCCTGACTCATTCCTAGTATATTTTGAAATCTGACTCCATATCATAGTTCTCTGTGGTTATTTCTTGCTGTGTAACACATTATTCCAATTATACTTTAGGGGCATTTGTATATATTGTCTATGGCTGGGTAACAAATGACTCAGACTGATAGACACACATTGAATACCTGCCTCTGATGGTCAGATTTGCAATCAGCTTAACTAGGGCTCTTGTGAGGTTGAAGTCAAATGGTTGGCCAGGGCTGTAGCCAGCCATCTGTAGACTCAACTACACCTAGAAAATGTATTTCTAAGCTCACTCAGGGTGTTGTAAGCCTCATTTCCTCTCTGATTACTGGCCAGTGAATGCAGTTATTATTCCATGGTTCTCATAGCAGTTCTGCTCACAGCAAGACAGCTAGCTTCTGAGGCAGGAGGTGTCAGAGAGCATGTGCTCATGACAGAGGCCAAGGTGTTCACATAAAGTCCTCTCAGGTGTGACCTATGCTCCCTTCTCCTGGGTTCTCAGTTAGAAACGAGCCACTAAATTATGCCTGAAGTCAAGGACATGGAATGAACAACTACCTCTTTGAGAAAGAAATACGAAGGAATCTGTGGACATATTTTTTAAAATTAATATACTTTATTGTTGTTATAGAGGTGTTGTACAGAGGGTTTACAACGACATGAGTCACGTAATGAGTCCGTTTCTTTTCTTTCTTTTTTTTTTCTTTGCTAGTCATGGGGCCTGAACTCTGGGCCTGGGCGCTGTCCCTCAGCTCTTCAGCTCAAGGCTAGCGCTCTACTTGAGCCATGGTGCCACTTCCAGCCTTTTCTGTTTATGTGGTGCTGAGGAATCGAACCCAGGGCCTCAGGCATGCAAGGCAAGCGCTCTACCACTGAGCCACCTTCCCAGCCCCATGAGTCCGTTTCTTTTCATACAGTGTCTTCTGTTCCCTCACTCTCTCCCAGCCCCTGCCTCCCACCTCCGCTCTCGACCTATATAGTTCACTTCATCATGTCCAATGGGTTCCACTGCTGTGCTTTTTCACCCTATTTTCCTTGAGTTCTACATCCTGTCTGCTACCCTCCCAAAGGTATACATGTGAATACACCATACATAAGAAAAAGAGGACAGAATCACCAGAAAATAAAAAACAAACCTAAAACTTTTTAAAAAAGAAAGGAGAGATCTCTTGTTTCCATAGCTTGGAATGTATGTATGTATATATGTATAGATATAATTTTATGTAAATATGAAGAGGCACTTAGGCATTGTGCCTTTGTGTTTTTCGCCTAAGAGTATCCTCTTTTGCTCTCATTGTGTGTATCTAGAGTCCTGTGCAATTTATCATATCCCAGTGTATTTTAGATCTAATTTCTGCATGTCAGAGAGTACATGCATTGTTTGTCTCTCTGAGCTTGGCTTACCTCACTTAACATGATTTGTTCTAATGGTAGACATGTTTTTGAAGCTATCATGGTATTTTTGATATTGCATTTGAGCTTTTTGTCTTTGTGGTCGATAGTGGGGCTTGAACTCTGGGCCTAGCACTGTCCCTTAGCTCTTCAGCTCAAGGCTAGCGCTCTATTACTTGAGCCACAGCACCACTTCCAGTTTTCTGGTGGCTTATTGGAGATAAAAGTCTCAGGGCTGGGAAGGTAGCTCAGTGGTAAAGCGCTTGCCTTGCATGCATGAGGCCCTGGGTCCGATTCCTCAGCACCACATAAGCAAAAAGAAAAAAGCCGGAAGTGGCACTGTGGCTCAAGTGGTAGAGCGCTAGCCTTGAGCTGAAGAGTTGAGGGACAGCGCCCAGACCCAGAGTTCAGACCCCACGACCGGACCCCAAAAAAAAAGTCTCATGGACTTTCCTGCGCAGGCTGGCTTTGAACCGTGATCCTCAGATCTCAGCCTCCTGAGTAGCTAGGATTACAGGTGTGAACCACCGGCGACTAGCTTGTTATTGCCTTTGAAAAGGATCTGTTTGATACAAATATATTTACATGTAATGTGAGCACAAGGATGAAGAGTTAAAGATCTTCATGTAAGCTCTAGGTAGCTCTTCTCACATGTTTGTGATTATCTTCTTTTGTTTGGAAGAATATTTTATAATGTAGCTTCGAAAGACCTTTTTGAGAAATAGACTTCCTGTTCTTTAAAGAAGTTTATCTTTGTGTTGTCTTTCTGAGGTATTAGATATTCAGGGGATGCAATCTTTTCTCAGAATCCAATAATCTACCATGAGACTCTTTCTGGTCTTGTCTTTTCTGGCTGAGTCTCCCAATAGACAGGACCTTGTCCCAGTGTATATACCAAATCTTGTTGCTTCACTGGTAGACTATTAAACCAGTCTAATATGTAAGTTCTTTTTTGGTGTTTTAGGTTTCCATTACAACTGTCTTGTACATTAGGATGAAATCTAAAATAGCTTTGTTCCTGTCTTTACATTGAAACTGGTATCAAGCTATATAAATGAAGAGTTCATGTCTTGTACATACTAGAAATAAAAGCTGCCTGCCCAGTGATAGATCCTCATTTACAACATTGCATTGGGGAGTTTGGAGGAATCACTGAAATTATATCACAATCCATCTTTCCAGGTTTGCTGAGCTACAAAGCTACACTCAGCTCAACTTCAGACCTATAGAAGATGCTCAATGTGATGTTATTATTGAAAAACCGACTTATTTCATGAAATTGGATGCAGGTGAGCAGTTAGTCTATTGGTATTATCTGTTATTACAACTTATCAATATGTAACTGTTTGTCATTTATATATTGGCGAATGAGACTATTTTTTTCTCTGTATGTAGTAGTCTTTTTTTTTTCCCTTGGGCTTGAATTCAGGGCTGTTCCTGACTTTGTTTTGAGTAGTTTACTGGAGATAAGAGTCTTGTGAATTTTCCTGCCTAGGATGGCTTCGAATCATAATTTTCAGATCTTGGCCTCCTTAGGATTACAGGTATGAGCCATAGGTGAATACATGTAGTTTTTCAATGAATATTTTAAGGCCTTTTTCTTCTCTGAAGTAGAACAAGTTTGAACTTCCAGTTATATGTTACTATTGGTTTTATAGAAGAAACTTTCATTTTTATAGCAAGTGGCTCAATCACAATCAGAAGATGAAGCAAGGCATATGTGTACTTTTTGTAACTAAATTTGCTCCATCTGATTTCTATGGGTTTAGAGTCTCTCATTATGGGTGTGTGTGTGTGTGTGTGTGTGTGTGTGTGTGTGTGTGT